TGAATGTGCCAATTAACAAGAAGCGAAAGCTTGGACCAAAAACCATTGATTGTGTCTTTCTTGGGTATGCTATTTACAGCGTGGGTTATATATAGATTTTTAATAATAAATTCTAGAGTGCCTGATGTGAATGTTGGTACTATCATGGAATCTAGAGATGCTACATTTTTTAATAATGAGTTTCCTATGAAAAATACACCTAGCACTTCAAGTCATGAGTCTATTCCATTTCATGAGACGAATAAACCAGTACTACACGCTGATGTTGAAACCCATGTGGATAATCATGAGGATAATAATATAGTCACTCGAAAGAGTAAGAGACGGAGGACTACAAAGCCTTTTGGTGAAGATTATATTATATACCTCGTGGATGACACTCCTAAGACCATAGAAGAGGCATATTCATCTCTTCATGCTGACTTATGGAAGGAACTGTTCAGAGTGTGTTGACAGTAGTTAACAACCATTATAAACCGTCAATTAAACACTTATAAGCGCATAAATATAATCACCAATGAAGGTTTAGGGGTTTAAACTAATAAATTCCATGAGTTTTGATGAATCTGTGTTTCAGTCAGGGTTTATCAGAAAACCGCCAAGGAGGACCTAATCATCAAAGGAAATTACAGAATACTGTCGCGGTACCTACGTGGGAAGACTCTAGAAGGTTTCAGAAGACACCTCGCCGAAGCTTGGGCCATTTGGCCACAATAGTGGGCCGGCCAGCCCACTAGGGAGGCCGCCCAACCAAGTCCAGAGCCCAATTGTTCTCCCCTTTGACGTGGACTCTCCCACAGCCTTTGAGGATACATCTAAGCCGTTGCTTAAGTCGGTTTGATCCAAGAACTCACGTTGGACCCTTAGAGCTATATATACCAGTCCCTACCCCATTCCTCAGCAGATCCTAAAACCCTAATTCATATTCTCCTCGTCAGGATTAGAGCCAGCTATCAAGAGAAGATTAGTCCTCTTTAGGATCTAGTCTTATAAATAATAGTGAGACAAGAGTTTAGAGGAGGTGCCGCCCTGTCGGTGCTCTCTCTATGGCTTGTATCTTGGCGAATCCAAGTTCTATCTGAGCTTGCCTCTGAGATTTATCTGGTAATCAACTTCTAATTCAAATAAGCTTCTTGTTTATATTATTCATCAGGTTCACAACTTGTTTGAGTGCTTTATTCTTTATCCAGGAAGAGTAAAGTAGTAATTGTAGTGTAAGCGTGATGCTTAGACTCTGATTACTTGTGGATACATCGTGCATTTCAGATCGATGGTAGCTCACGAGGGTGACTCTTATAGCCTCGTTGAATCCTCTATAGTCCACCTCTTATTTGTAAGGGCACATAGGACGCGGTTACGAAGGAAAGCATCCTCTGCTGGTGTCTTTCCCTAGTAATGTCTCCAGTTGAATACTAGAAAACATAGCTTACCCAAGTCAGAATTAGAGAACCTTAGTTTTTTCTCTCTACGCTCCTATTTATCCTAACCTTGTTACTACCCTTAGTTAAGTTAGACCGTAGTTAGTCTCACATGTTTTCCTATGGATACGATGCTTGGAATACTTCCGGGTAAAAGCTACAGTGGTATCTGTGCGCTTGCGGATTTATCTCGACAGAACTTTGACATCAGCCGACTTTGTTGTGAACGAAGCCAATAAATGTGTTTATTATCGGTATGGTGGAGGAGAAGGTGTGATCCTGTGCATATATGTGGATGATATACTATTTTTTGGAAATAATATTAATATGATCAAAGAAGTGAAAGACTTCTTGTCAAGTAACTTTGAAATGAAAGATCTGGGAGAAGCTGATGTTATTCTTAACATAAAACTACTCAGAGAAGGAAATGTTGAGGTAACTCTTGTGCAATCCCACTATGTGGAAAAGGTGTTAAATCGCTTTGGATATAGTGACTGCACACCTGCTCTAACTCCTTATGACCCAAGTGTGCTATTAAGGAAAAATCACAGAATAGCACGGGATCAATTGAGATATTCTCAAATTATTGGCTCGCTTATGTATTTAGCTAGTGCAACGAGGCCTGACATCTCATTTTCTGTGAGCAAACTTAGCCGGTTTGTTTCAAATCTAGGAGGTGATCATTGGCGTGCTCTTGAGAGGGTATTGCGCTATCTAAAAGAAACCATGAGCTATGCCATTCACTATACCGGGTATCCGAGGGTACTAGAGGGTTATTGTGATGCAAATTGGATATCTAATGCTGATAATATTTATGCCACAAGTGGATATGTGTTCTCACTTAGAGGTGGCGCTGTTTCATGGAAGTCTTGCAAGCAGACCATCTTAATGAGGTCAATAATGGAAACAGAACTCACGGGATTAGATACTGCCTTAGTTAAGGCTGAGTGGCTTCATGAACTCCTTATGAATTTACCGGTGGTTGAAAAACTAATACCGGCTATTTTTATGAACTGGGATAATCAGACTGTGATAATCAAAGTGAACTGTTCTAGAGATAACATTAAGTCTACGAGACATATGAAGAGGCAGTTAAAATCTATCAGAAAACTGAGACACTCTGAAGTAATAGCGTTGGACTATGTCCATACATCTAAGAATCTAACAGATCAGTTTACCAAGGGTTTATCACGCAATGTGATAAAAGGTGCATCGAGGGAGTTGGACTTGAGACCCACTTGAAGTCATTCTATAGTGGTAACCTGTCCTATGTGATTGGAGATCCCGTGAAGTAGGATGACGAAACAAGCTAGTGGTTGACTGATGGAGAAACCCCTTATATTAAGGTCAAATCGTTTGAGATGCACTGTTTCTCATATGATGTATGGCAGGTTGGTTAATTCGTTAATGTGATTTGAGTGGCTTATTTAAGCAGGGGTGTTGTCCTACAGAACATCCTAGAAGGAACACACATATATGAGTTCGACTGCTAGTCACAGTCTATGAGATGTGGGTAATCTCTAGATACTCATAAAAGGCATCGAAGTGTGACTTATATGCTTCAACCAGAGAGGATGCTTGTAGCCGCCTAGACCACAAAAGATCTTTGGTGAAACTCATTTTGCATAAAACTGTCAATTCAAAACATAGTCCATTGTTCAGTTGTGAATGTGTGTACCCCTTATTCTAGGTGGATGTTCAACTTAACAGTCTCCACTGAAACTCTGGTATACCAAAGAACTGTGGATTTGATATTATTTATTGTGCGCCCTAGATTTTAGTGGGGATTGTTAGTTATATTGTGGGACTTGGCCCACATAATATTTAATATATCAAATAAAATATAAGGGCCCTATAAATAATGTGCATGTGATGGTTTAATACCATACGGAATTGTGACTGGATGCTAAGCATGGCGTGTCGTGCCTGTGATGTTTTGCCACTTAAGACGAGTAAGTACAGAAGTTTCTCTAGTTAACGTTAGTTAATGAGAGTTTTGACTGGTTAATATGGGAGTTTCGGAAGTTACTGGGAGTTTCCAATGCTAATGATGTGAGTTACTAAACGGGAGTTTCTCCTGTGAAAGTTAATTCCGTGACGTCTCTCTCGTCTCCTGATCTCCTTCGTCTGCTCGTCTTGCCTGGCTATGATATAAAAGTCTCATCTTATCGTCCATTCATAAAGCTTCAACACTTGCAAAAACCACAGCTTCCCCTGATCATAGTTCTCCCCGTCCCGGACCTTGCGCGCATTGGTTCTAGGAGAGTAGGCCTTCGAAACGCTGCTGCCCTTCGGTTCACCTGCTCGGGTGAAGGACGGCAATCATGTTTTTGGGAGTGTCGCTGACGGCACGACTACTCGCTACACCTTCTTCCCGGGGGTCTTGTTGGTCTTCTTTCCAGCGCACGGCGAAGATTCTGGTGATCAGCACTGCTTCCCTTCTACACTGCATCGAGCGGGACGACTACACCGACAGGCACTATGTCAACTAGTGCATCCGGCTCTGTCGTTGGGTTTATTTCCGTTGTTCGTTATCAAGTAAGATTTTGGATCAATATCTTGCTGGTTAGTATCATCTACATTCTATTTATGCTTAGATCACACATGCACATATATGAGGTCACAAACATATTGTTTATCATTTTTTGGATTAAATTGCTACTAAATTTGCCTAAGTTTCTAACAACTAATAGGTCTTAGCTCTATCACCCTTTCTGGACATTTCACCTTTGGAATTGGAGCAATAATCGTCTCATTCCATTCGGCACCCCCAAAACTTCACTAGTAATTTTCTCCCCCCATACTCCCCGAAAGTGCTTGTAAAAAAAAGTCGGCATACCATCGGCCCCGTCGCCTTCAAATCACCGATGGACTCCAACGCCTCCTTCACCTCCAGGCTGTAAATTCAGCTAGGAGATCCACATTCATTTCCGGCGTCACGCAGGGGCGCACGGCATCAAGAATTTGCTGTACATCCCCGGCAACTTTGGACCTAAAAAGTTACTCCCTCCCTCGTGAAAAGACGTAATTCTAGCTTCGAATCTATACACGACGTGTGTCTTGGTTCAGAGCTAGAATTATGTTTTTTCTAGACGGATGGAGTACACGGCTATAATATTTAAAGTCAAAATAGACCATAAATAAGGGGCTCACTCAACAAATAAAAAAACAGTGCAATCTCATCATGTGGCTGGTGTGGATAACAACCAGCATGCTCGCTTCTGCTTTTCCGGCTGCGGAGCTGCTTCATATATTAGCTACAATATTTAAAGTCAGAATAGACCATAAATTTGGGGCTCACTCAACAAATAAAAAAACCAGTGCAATCTCATCATGTGGCTGGTGCGGATATTGAAGAAGGTAAGAGAGAGAGTTATTTGTTTGTGGTCGACCGCAAGGCCACTTCCACAATCTCAGCGTCCCCCTCGTAGCTGGTACGGACTACGGAGTAGCTGCAATGCGTGGTTAGCGTCGCTCCCCTCTAATTATAAATTATAATACTCAGGACCCTCAAGACCCAGCTCTCCTATAGCGGCCAGTCTCTGTGTACTTCCCGCCGTCCGCAGTCGATCAGCAGTGTCGATGGCCGCCGCCGACTCCTCCCCACTGCACATCGTCATCTTCCCGTGGCTGGCGTTCGGTCACTTGGTCCCCTGCCTCGAGCTCGCCGAGCGCCTCGCAGAGCGCGGCCACCGCGTGTCCTTCGTGTCCACCCCGGGCATCCTCAGCAGGCTCCGCCCGGTCGCGCCTGCGCTGGCCTCGCTCATTGACTTGGTGGCCCTCCCGTTCCCGCGCATTGATGGCCTCCCCGAGGGCGTCGAGGCCACTTGCGATCTCCCGCCCGGCAAGGCCGAGCTCCACATGGAGGCCTTGGACCGCCTCGCCCCGGCCTTCTCCGCCTTCCTCGATGCCGCCTGCGCCGACGGGAAGGTGGACTGGCTGCTCATCGACAACTTCCACGCGTCCATGGCGGACGTCGCCAGCGAGCACAAGGTTCTAGAAACGGATATATATAGTACTCCGTACACCGTAATGAAAAATGAAAACCAGATGCGTGCATTTTGGTACCCTGCAGTAATAAGCCCTTCTTTTGCTTGCATTGTCGATGTCCTACAGGTTCCCTGCATACTGAACATGCCCTACTCTGCGGCGACGACAGAGGATTTCGGCATTCCAGACCTCAGGACGGTTCCACCAATGTTCCGGCGATTTGTTGAGGCCTTCGAGAAATGCAAACTTATCGCTGCTCGTAGCAGCTTTGAGTTGGAGCCGGAGTCCTTGCCTCTCATGACAAAAATCTTGGGAAAGCCGGTCCTCCCCGTGGGCCTACTTCCCCCGCCGCCCGCCGGAGCCGGAGGTAACAACACACAGCGCGACGACAGTGCAGCCCTGTCGTGGCTCGATGAGCAGCCGTCCAAGTCTGTGGTTTACGTCTCCTTTGGGAGCGAGTACCCGATGACGCTCAAGCAGCTGCACGAGATTGCTCGAGGGCTGGAGCTCGCCGGAACGCGCTTCCTCTGGGCTCTCAAGAAGCCTAAAGGCGTCCACCCCGACGAGGACGTCCTGCCTCCGGGTTTCGAGGAGCGCACGCGTGGGCGCGGCTCCGTTGTCACGGGCTGGGTTCCTCAGACCAGCATCCTGGGGCATGGCGCCGTCGCCGCGTTCGTGATGCACTGCGGCTGGGGCTCCACCATCGAGGCGCTTCAGTATGGCCATCCCCTGATCATGATGCCAATTCTCGTGGACCACTTGTCCACCGCGCGGGTGATGACGGACCTGCGGAAGGTCGGAGTCAAGGTGCGAAAGGAGAAAAATCACGAAGCGTTTCTTGGTGACAACATCGCAACCGCGATACGGGCTGTCATGTGCGAAGAAGAAACTAGGAGGATCTTTGTGGCCAATGCTAAGAAGTTGCAGGAGATTGTGGCAGACGACAAGTGCCACAACAGGTACATAGACGAATTCATTCAGAGCCTGAGAACCTACAAGAACTGAAACAAGGTGATGGTACGTATACATTACATACACGCATGGTTGGCATTATTTTATTACATGTGATTCTTGCATTTCATTTTTACAGTCAACTCTCAAAATTTTTCTAAATGCCCAGACTCCAGCTAATAATAGGTTCGAAGTTGGTACTGGAACACTGGCTGCTAATAACAGGATTGTCTTTTCTCGGTTAGATCAATATACACTGCCTTAGTTAGTAATGGGGTCAGAGTGTCTCAAGAAATTTGACGTGCTAAATTACCAACAAAGATTAAAATCTTTATGTGGTATTTGAAAAAAAAGGTGTTATCTTAACTAAAGACAATCTTATCAGAAGAAATTGGAATGGGATAAGAATTGCTACTTCTATCATAAACCAGAGTCCATTCAAAATCTTTTTTTTCGACCGTGCATACTCTAATTCTTGTGGCGAGCTGTGCACTTAGTGTTTGGGATACCGAGACCAATAAGCATGTACGATATTTTTCATCGCTGGTGTAAGGGCGCGTTTAGATCCAATTTTTTGGGGGTTTTGGCTATTGTAGCACTTTCGTTTGTATTTGACAATTAGTGTCTAATTATGGACTAATTAGGTTCGAAAGTTTCGTCTCGCAATTTCTCACCCAACTGTGCAGTTAGTTTTTTCCCGTCTACATTTAGTACTCCATGCATGTGCCGCAAGATTCGATATGATGGATACTGCGCAAAAAATTTTGGGTTTTGAGGGAACTAAACAGGCCCTAATTTGGGAGGGACCAAACCAAACTTGTTACTACTAACTGCAGTAGCATCATTCGTTGGGCAATATGACTTATAAGAAATGAAGTTATTTTTGACAAATGCAGACCAAAATCTTTCTTGCAGGTAATGTCCAGGGGAACGCACCGGCTCCGGTCCATGAGAAACGGAGGGATGTATTCCTCCATGCCTGTGGCCTCCTCGAAGAGTCCGCTTTGCAGTTCCTCACGTTAAATGGACGGTTATCTACTAGTCTGATTGGTCTTCATTAGTCTAAACTTTCGTGTGTTGTTTTGAGCTTCGTGTTTGCTCGTAAGAACTTTGTTGGTTTGTTTGGGTGTGGCATGATTCTATGTTACGTAGTCGAAGCCGGATATTAACTATCCATTATCTATAAAAATAATGTATTCATGCCTATCCAATATTTAATAAGATTGCCTGTCAACTCATTCGTTCCCAGCGGTTCAGACAAGCGCTGCTGATTTGTAACTACTCTCCTATCTAGTCACAAATAGTGACCCAGCGCATGTACAAAACAACTTTACTACTACTACATATTGCTTGAAAGAGTACTGAAATTAAGGAGACGGTGCTATAATCACTTAATCAGAGGCGGCTACAAACGGACGTCACCTCTAGAAAATAATGTTAGGGACGTCGGGAAAAGCCCGTCTCTCTTAACACTCAGCCCACCTTCGTTGATACTCCCTCCGTCTCTAAATAAGTATTCTTATCAGTATTTTGAGAAGTTAATTGCTTTTAATTTGGGCTAGATTTATAGAAAATAGTATAGATATTTATATCTCTAACTAAGTTTACTATGAAAATATATGGTATAATTAATCTAATAATATTTATCTGGTATTACAAACATTAGTTATTTTTTATATATACTTGGTCAAACTTGGAACTGTTTGACTACAAGATGAGCACTTATTTTGCATGGAACGGACGGAGTACATTGACAAAAGGTGGGAGACTAAAAACGACTGTCTCTATTAATTGAGTATTAATGTCGTTCACCTCTTGTTATTAACAGAGCAGGCACCATAAGGCGTCCGTCTTTGTTAATGAATGGCCCGTATATATAAAGACAACACCCACTTCTTCTTTCTCAATAAGCTCACTCACTTGGACAACTCTTGTACTTGGTGGACATCTCTAGATCTTCAAGAAAACACCATTTTTTAAGGTGAGAGTTTGAATCAGCCACTGAGGTCCACACAAAGGAAACACCCATCTTCAAGAGATCGGAGAGGTCTACTAATGAGGCCATAGTGCTTGATAAACCTCCTATAGTAACCTGTCTAGCCTAGAAAACCTCTTAGATCCTTCAAATTCCTTGGTGTTGGCCAATCTTTCACAGCTTGTATCTTAGCAATCTCACTAGAAACTCCTTGAGCTAAGATGGTGTGGCCCAAGTACTCAACCTCCTTTTGTGCAAAAGAGCTTTTGGACAGCTTGACATAGAACTTGTGTTCTCTTAAGATCTCACAGACTCGCTTCAGTAACTCTAAATGATCAGAGAGTGTTTCAGAATACACTAATATGTCATCCATGAATACCAAGACACCCTTTCTCAGTACAACAATAACAACAACATAGCCTTTCAGTCCCAAGCAAGTTGGGGTAGGCTAGAGTTGAAACCCACCAAGAGCCCCAAGTCACGGTTCAGGCACTTCAATAGTTGTTTTCCAAGTCCTATTCAAACATAGATCTCTAGGTATATCCCAAGCTTTCAAATCTCTTTTTATTGTCTTCCTCCATGTCAATTTTGGTCTTCCTCTACCTCTCCTCATATTATTAGCTTGGCTTAGGACTCCACAATGCACTGGTGCCTCTAGAGGTCTCCTTTGGACATGGCCAAACCACCTCAACCGATGTTGGACAAGCTTTTCTTCAATTGGTGCTACCTCTAGGCGATCACGTATATCATCGTTCTGAAATCGGTTCATTCTTGTGTGACCGCAAATCCATCGCAACATACGCATTTCTGCAACACTCAGTTGTTGAACATGTCGAATCTTTGTAGGCCAACATTCTGCTCCATAGAACATAGTGTAACACCCTAAAAATTGTCTCTTTTGAAATAGAGTTTAAATGATTTATTTATGAATTTTTGTGCTCATAAAATATAGGAAACTAAAAATTTTCATTAATTTAAAATTCATTATAAGGTAGCAACATGTTTGATGCATACATGCCATTGCATTTGATTTTATTGGTTGAGTGGTGTTAATTGAAAAGTCAAAATGGTTAAAATGCACTTGAAAATGAAATTAAAAATGGCTTTGAATTAAAAGAAAAGAAAGAAAAGAAAATTAGAAAAAAATAAAAGAATTTAAAAAGTTGTTCTCGGAAAACTTACCCAAAATTTGGTTCATTTATGTTTGAACTAAAAAGTGCATTTTGAATCGTATTTATACACGATTTGGTTCGTATTTGAAATTGTTTGAATTAAGAAAAGAAAAAGGATTTTTGAAAAATCTTCCTTCCCACCTTTTCAGCCCAACCAGGAATCGGCCCAGCCGCCCCTCCCTTCCCCTCCTTCCCGTTTTCCCGGCCTCGGCCCATTTGCTTTCAGTGTGATTCCTTCCTTCCTCCCTCCTTCCCTTTCTTCCAGACCGCCCACTCCGCGCCCTTTCTCGGCTCCGCTCACAGCAGGCTACCAGAGCCCACCAACATGTGGCCCGCAACGCCTGCGCGCCGTCCGTCTCTCTTTCTCTCCTTCACTCATCATCACATGGTGGCCCCGTCTGTCGCCCTTGTTTCCCTTTCCTTTCTTCTTCCCGTGTTTCCTTTCTTTCCCGGCGCTTTCCTTCTCCCGATGCCGCCGATGGCGTGGCCATGCACGACAAGCCGCCGATCGCCACGCCCGTATGGAAGGCAACCAAATCACCTCAGCGCGCCCCGCTCCCCTTCCTTATACGCCGCAGCCCGCCCGCCAATAAAAACCCGAGCCGCGCCCTCGTCTTCTCTCTTTCCCGTCCGCTCGAAGCTCGCATCACCGCCGCCGTAGCTCCGCCGTTCCGGTGCCTTGAACCTCGACGCCGACGTGACCCCGAGCTTCGCCTTGTTTCACCGCGCCCGTAGGTATCACCGATTTTGTGTTTTGGCCTTCTTTTCCTCGGATTCAACCTCACCCGCATCCTCCTCTCTCTCCAGCCATCACCGCCGCCGTCGACCCGCGCCTTTAGAGGCCTTCGAGACGTCGCGGCCGTCGCTGTTGGCCACGCAGTGAGTTTCTCCGCCACCCTATGCCCTCCTTTCATCGTATTGCACACTAGGATGACGTAGCAGCGAGCACCCGACGCCACCATTCATGGCGCCACCGCGGAACGCCACCCCGACGCAACCCCGGTTCCCGTTTCGGTACCCGAGCGAGTTTGTGATAGCCTGTAGATCATTTTCGTGTGTTCGGTTTGGGTTGGGATGGACGTAGTCGCCGTACCGGCGTCCACCGCCGTGCTGCCTCGCCGGCGGCAACGGAGAGCCGCCGAAGCCACTGTGCAGCCACCGTGAATCACCCGCACACTCACCAGCCCCGTCAGATCTGTTTTGCACGGCTGAGATTAGATCATACCTGTTCCATGTGTAATCGGTCCAACATGGACTCGTGCACCTGGGCCACGGCGCTGCGTCAGCTAGTCCACCAAGCCGCGTGGTGCACCGCACCAATCCCCGGCCGCCATGTGTCACCCAGTCAGCAACAGGGTCAACCCGCAGTCAAAGCCACAGACGTTTTTTAGAAAAGCCCCCGTATTTCCAGTAATCAACCCGCAGTCCGGTGTAATTCAAAATAATTATTTTTCAGCCCTGATTTTATTCGTTTAGGACCCTATCATTTCCAGAAATAGTATGCCCAGTCCAAAATAAATTTAAATTCAGAATTTTAATTGTTTTAATTCAAAAATGTGTTCAAATATTTACAGAAATGCCACTAAATCTTATTTCATGCGTAACTTTTGCGTTTTAAGTCCGATTTGACCCGTTCAAATTTCGTTAGGACCGTATTTACGTTTTCTACATGTTTATACAACTGTTAGGCATGTTTTCAACACTTGAAATTCATGAGTAGATTTAATCTATTATTTAATTAAAGCAAAACTTGTTTAAATCATAACTTATTCATTCTAACTCCGAAATAGTCCGTTCAAGTTGCGTTTGTTTCGTAACGACGAGATCTACGTATTAGTAATGATGTTTACTACATTACTATTTCATAAAAATCATAGTTTAAATCATATCTTGATTAAAGATTATAC